TACATATCTAACACTACAAGCTATGCATCTTTTAAATATAAACTTAATCTAAACAATGTCGATATTAAAATAAATATATAATAGCAAATTCGTTACACGTTTAATACCATTACCACGTCAGTTTAAGATTAATAATATTACCATGTCCACTTAAGGCTAATATCACTGCCACGTCCACCTAACGCAAACACCATTAGCACGCCACTTAGGGTTAATACCATGACATTGTCCACCTAAGGATAATACCATTATTACATCCACCTAAGGTTAAGATAATTACTACAACCACTTAAGGTTCATAGCATTACTACATAAGCTTAAAGATAATACTATTCAAGTTCAATTACGGTTAATACCATTACTACGCCCACCTAAGGTTAATACCATTGCCACGCCTACTTAAGGTTAATACCATTAACACGTTTACTACATGACCTGTATATCTAATCCACTAAAAGTCATATTCTATAACCAGTGTGCATAAGTATTCAAAAGTAAGAAATATACTTTACTGACAGTTTAATCGGTCTGGTTAGGTTTGTATATTCTCATCCTATAATGTTGGTCGAAAGTTGAGAAGCAACAAGCACCCTTATCGGCAAGTTGATAACAATTATAACTAACCCAAGTGTTGCACCATCGATTGCAATGAGATTTGTTCATATCCAAAGCAGAAGAAAACATAGTACATTATTAATGTGGGTATTGATCCCTAGCTTCTGATACATCCTGTAAACTGGAAAGAATACATTTCCACGCTATTAAGCTGAAAAAAGAAACAAACATATCCTTGCAATTCCCTGCCCACAGTTGACACCTCTAGGGTAAAACGACATTTTAAAGTGCATTTCAGTTGTTTCTAATATAAAAAAAGACATTTTTGAAATATCCAAATCTGTAAATGGAAGTGTAAAAGGGGTAACACTAAATATTCGTGACCAATTAAAATAATATACAAAAGTTGCCAAAAGATGGCAATAAGAGCACTTTCGATTCTTTTCTTTTTCAGCTGTTACTGAACACTTTGCCACTGTAACATTATCGTTCACGTTATGTTTATATTACCCAAGAGTGTCAGCAGGAGAGGCTTGGGGAGCCTCACCCCCCCCCAGATAAAATCAATTATCTATTGATACCATAGTCGCTACGGACGCATCTATTTTCACTCTTATTAACACACTTTCGAAACCGTG